AAGAATAATAATTTGATTGTTTTATATTTTTATTATTTTATTGTTTCCATTCTACGTGGTGGTGACTTTACCCAAAGAACCAAGAATAATAATTTTATTGTTTTATATTTTTATTATTTTATTGTTTCCCTATCTACGTGGTGGTGACTTTATCCCAAAGAACCAAGAATAATAATTTTATTGTTTTATATTTTTATTATTTTATTGTTTCCCTTCAACGTGACTTTACCGAAAGAACCAAGAATGTGGTTGTTGTTGTTGTTGTTTGACTTTGCATCCCACTAGGATTTGTTTGGTGATGTACACGGTGCTTTTATCAGGAATATTTTGATGGTTCTATTTACCCCCTGGATTTTCTGTTTTGCCACAGTCACACATAGTAGCCACTTTAAGGTGTTTTTATTGTTGGCGTTTTTGTGTTTGTTGTGGTTTCCACTCCGATTCAAGACCCTGAATGACTCACACAGGGCTCCACACTAAAAATAAATGGGACTATGAAAACTTTGTTTATTGTAGTGCGGGAGTTAGACCCATGGCCTTATTATAATCTCAAGTTGTCTTGTGGTTTATGAGACTTCCTTTGCCAGAAACAAGATATAGGAATAGGTTTTTTACCCCTTTTTAACTGGCAACACAAAAACTGACACCTTCATTCAAGGCATCTTGTGTTGTGGTTATTGCAAACACGATGCCTTGAATAAAGGTGTCAGTTTTTGTGTTGCCAGTTAAAAGGGTAAAACCTATTCCTATACCTTTGTCTTGTGGTGGTTGTTGTGGTTGTTGTTGTTGTTGTTATTTTGACTTGCAACCCACTGGGATTTTTGTACACAGCCTTGGTGATGTACACGGTGCTATTTCAAGGAATATTTTGATGGTTCTATTTACCCCCTGGATTTTCTGTTTTGCCACAGTCACACATAGTAGTCACTTTAAGGTGTTTTTATTGTTGGCGTTTTTGTGGTTGTTGTGGTTTCCACTCCGATTCAAGATCCTGAATGACTCACACAGGGCTCCATACTAAAAATAAATGGGACTATGAAAACTTTGTTTATTGTAGTACGGGAGTTAGACCCATGGCCTTATTATAATCTCAAGTTGTCACGAAAGTTTCAAATCCAGAACTGCCCTAGAGGAGTTGTACACCCCTTAGCCGTCACTGGCTCATTCAGTGGCCTAAAATATATGGCCCCAGGCTTTGGTGTTATAATTTATTTACGTGATTTAGTGTTTAAAAAAAAATCCGGTCACAGTAACAGTCCCTGTGGTCACTGTTAACATTGCACTGATGGCTTTTCATTTTGGTGATTTCGAAAACGGTTTTTGGTTTTTTGGGGTTTTTGGTTTTTTGGGTTTTGGCCACGGGTTTTTGTTTATTGTAGTACGGGAGTTAGACCGATGGTCTTATTATAATCTTAAGTTGTCTTGTGGTTGTTGTGGTTGTTGTTGTTTGACTTTGCAACCCACTGGGATTTTTGTACACAGCCTTGGTGATGTACACGGTGCTATTTCAAGGAATATTTTGATGTTTTTTTTTAACCCCCTGGATGTTCTGTTTTGCCACAGTCACACAAAGTAGTCACTTTAAGATATTTTTATTGTTGGCGTTTTTGTGTTTTTTTGTGTTTGTTGAGGTTTGCACTCAGATTCAAAAGCCGAATGACTCACACAGAGCTCCATACTAAAAATAAATAAACTGAAAACTGGTGATACTAGTGATATTCTTGGTTCTTTCGGTAAAGTCACCACGTTGAAGGGAAACAATAAAATATATAAAACAATAACAATGTTCACGACGTTTCGACCATAACACAAACGGTCGTCATCAGGTGTGGGGGAGGAGTCTACATTGACTCCGCCTCCACCAGTAGACTCCTCCCCACCCTTAGACTCCGCCTCCACCAGTAGACTCCTCCCCCACCCTTAGACTCCTCCCCCACCAGTAGACTCCTCCTCCCCCACCAGTGAGACTACTCCCACACCAGTTAGACTCCTCCCCCGCGTGTAGACTCCTCCCCCACCCATAGACTCCTCCCCCACCCATAGACTCCTCCCCCACGAGTGAGACTCCTCCCCCCCCATCAGTGAGACTCCTCCCCCACCATATTCTCAGCTCTTTCGGTAAAGTCACCACGTTGAAGGGAAACAATAAAATAATAATAATATATATAAAACAATAAAAAAAATCTCACAACGTTGCGACCATAACACAAACGGTCGTCATCAGGTGTGTCGGTTAGCATTGATTTATTTATTTTTAAAACGGTGTTTACACGTACAAGCACGGAGACAATTTCAACCGAGGAAGATGGATTCTGGGGCTTAGCAATCATTGGAAGGATTTGATCAACCATTTCGGATCTTAATTGATTGTTCACCCTTACGGTGAGCCATCCGCCTACCACGAGAGATTCTTTCAAGAGGCCATCCAAACGTACAAACACGGAGACAATTTCAACCGAGGAAGATGGATTCTGGGGCTTAGCAATCATTGGAAGGATTTGATCAACCATTTCGGGTCTTAATTGATTGTTCACGCTTACGGTAAGCCATCCGCCTACCACGAGAGATTCGTTCAAGAGGCCATCCACACGTACAAACACGGAGACAATTTCAACCGAGAAGATGGATTCTGGGGCTTAGCAATCATTGGAAGGATTTGATCAACCATTTCGGGTCTTAATTGATTGTTCACCCTTACGGTGAGCCATCCGCCTACCACGAGAGATTCGTTCAAGAGGCCATCCACACGTACAAACACGGAGACAATTTCAACCGAGAAGATGGATTCTGGGGCTTAGCAATCATTGGAAGGATTTGATAAACCATTTCGGGTCTTAATTGATTGTTCACGCTTACGGTGGCTTTCAGACAGCGTGCATTAAATTTTCGTCTCCCCCCCTCCTCTTTTCAGAACATAGATGGACTTGTCCTTCTAAATAAACGGGCAAATCGCTATCCGTGGCGCTAACGTTTTAATAAATAAATAAATAGATACCAACGCCGTTTTAAAAATAAATAAATTTATGCTAACCGACACACCTGATGACGACCGTTTGTGTTATGGTCGAAACGTGAGAATTTTTTTTATTGTTTTATATATATTATTAATTTATTATTTTTTATATTATTATTATTTTATTGTTTCCCTTCAACGTGGTGACTTTACCGAAAGAGCTAAGAATATAAGTTGCGTGAGGTAAATAAAATTGTTTTATATTTTATTATTTTATTGTTTCCCTTCAACGTGGTGACTTTACCCAAAGAGCTGAGAATATGGTGTGGGAGGAGTCTCACTGGTGGGGGAGGAGTCTACTGGTGGGGGAGGAGTCTAAGGGTGGGGGAGGAGTCTAACTGGTATGGGAGTAGTCTCGCTCGTGGGGGAGGAGTCTACACGCGGGGGAGGAGTCTAACTGGTGGGGGAGGAGTCTAACTGGTGTGGGAGTAGTCTCGCTCGTGTGGGAGGAGCCTGCAGGTGGGGGAGGAGTCTACACGTGGGGGAGGAGTCTACACGTGGGGGAGGAGTCTACACGTGGGGGAGGAGTCTAACTGGTGTGGGAGGAGTCTAACTGGTGTGGGAGGAGTCTACTGGTGGGGGAGGAGGAGTCTACTGGTGACGGAGGAGTCTAAGGGTGTGGGAGGAGTTTACTGGTGGAGGCGGAGTCAACGTAGACTCCTCCCCCACACCTGATGTTATGGTCGAAACGTCGTGATAATTTTTATTGTTTTATATTTTATTATTTTATTGTTTCCCTTCAACGTGGTGACTTTACCGAAAGAGCTAAGATTATAAGTTGCGTGAGGTAAATAAAATTGTTTTAAATTTTATTATTTTATTGTTTCCCTTCAACGTGGTGACTTTACCCAAAGAGCTGAGATTATAAGTTGCGTGAGGTAAATAAAATTGTTTTATATTTTATTATTTTATTGTTTCCCTTCAACGTGGTGACTTTACCGAAAGAGCTAAGATTATAAGTTGCGTGAGGTAAATAAAATTGTTTTATATTTTATTATTTTATTGTTTCCCTTCAACGTGGTGACTTTACCGAAAGAGCTAATATTATAATATTAAATATCGACAAGCGAGGACTGCTCTCTGATTGGTCCATTGTGTGGGGTCTGATGGGAGGGTGGGGGTGCTGTTAATTTGAATCCCCGCGCGCTGATTGGACGAGCAGATTGAGAGTGGGTGGAGAGGGGGGCGGTGGGGGGTTTGAAACCCCGCGCTGTGATTGGTCAAAAGGACCGGGGGGTGAGGAGGGGGAGGAATGGGCGGGGCTTAGTTTATTTCCCCGGGCTGTGATTGGGCCATTGCTATTGCAGGGGCAGGGCAAGTGGTGGGCGACGAATTTAAATTTACGCGTTCTGATTGGTCCACTTTCATAGCAGGGCGTGGACCAGTGGGGGGGGGTGGGGTCGAGTTTCCCATCCTTGCGTCCCTGATTGGTCCACTGCTCTAGCAGGGCGTGGATTAGAGGGGAGGGGAGGTGCTGAGTTTGAATCTTCGCCCGCCGATTGGTGAATCGGACTTGGCTGGGAGGGAGGGAGACACCAGGATGGGTGGGGCTGAGTTCGAATCCCCGCGCGCCGATTGGTTGAGCCGATTGAGAGGAGGGGCGTCAAGTGAGGTGGCGTCTGTGGGGGGGGAGGGGTTTCAATCCCCGCGCGCCGATTGGTCGAGCAGATTGAGGGGAGGTGTGAGAGAGAGCGGGGGCGGGTGAAGGGGTGGGGCCCAACGTTCAATCCCCGAGCGCCGATTGGTCCATAGCACTTAGAGGGGAGGTGGGGTGAGAGCGGTGGATTAATTTGAATCCCCGCGCGCCGATTGGTTGAGCAGATTGAGGGGAGGAGGGGCGTCAAGAAGCGTGGGGCGGGGGGTGTGTTTGGGTGGGGGGGGGTTGAATCCCCGCGTTTTGATTGGCGCAGCGCCACTTAGAGTGGGGAGGGAGTGAGAGAGAGCGAGAGCACGGACGGGGAGAAGGGCGGGGCCGACCTTGAATCCCCGCGCGTCGATTGGTCGGTTTGAATCGGGCGGTTGAAATCCCCGCGCGCTGATTGGCCAAAGCCGCCGTTAAAAAGTGAAAGTAAAAATTTGCGGAGCCTTCAGTTGCCGTTGGGACGTTGACGAAGAGAGTTGGTGAGTGGTGGTGAGTGGTGGTGAGTGGTGGTGAGTGGTGGTGAGTGGTGAGGGTGAGTGGTGAGTGGTGAGGGGTGAGGGTGAGTGGTGGTGAGTGGTGGTGAGGGGTGAGTGGTGGTGAGTGGTGGTGAGTGGTGGTGAGTGGTGAGGGTGAGTGGTGAGGGGTGAGGGTGAGTGGTGGTGAGTGGTGGTGAGTGGTGAGGGGTGAGTGGTGGTGAGTGGTGGTGAGTGGTGGTGAGTGGTGAGGGTGAGTGGTGGTGAGTGGTGGTGGTGAGGTGGTGAGTGGTGGTGGTGAGGTGGTGAGTGGTGAGGGTGAGTGGTAGTGGTGAGGGTGAGTGGTGGTGAGTTGGTGGTGAGTGGTGGTGAGTGGTGGTGAGTGGTGAGGGTGAGTGGTGAGGGGTGAGGGTGAGTGGTGGTGAGTGGTGGTGAGTGGTGGTGAGTGGTGGTGAGTGGTGGTGAGTGGTGAGGGTGAGTGGTGGTGAGTGGTGGTGGTGAGGTGGTGAGTGGTGAGGGTGAGTGGTAGTGGTGAGGGTGAGTGGTGGTGAGTTGGTGGTGGTGAGGGTGAGTTGGTGGTGAGGGGTGAGTCAGTGGTGAGTGGTGGTGAGTGGTGGTGAGAGTGAGTGGTGAGTGGTGGTGAGAGTGAGTGGTGGTGAGTGGTGAGGGTGAGGAGTGGCGAGGGGTGGTGAGTGGTGGTGAGTGGTGGTGAGGGTGAGTGGTGGTGAGTGGTGAGGGGTGAGTGGTGGTGGTGAGTGGTGAGGTGGTGGTGAGGGTGAGTGGTGGTGAGTGGTGAGGTGGTGGTGAGTGGTGGTGAGGGTGAGGGGTGGTGAGTGGTGAGTAGTGGTGAGGGTGAGTGGTGAGTTGGTGGTGAGTTGGTGGTGAGTGGTGGTGAGTGGTGAGTTGTGAGTGGTGGTGGTGGTGGTGAGTGATGAGGGTGAGTCAGTGGTGAGTCAGTGGTGAGTCAGTGGTGAGTCAGTGGTGAGTGGTGGTGAGTGTGAGTGGTGAGGGTGAGTGGTGAGAGTGAGTGGTGAGTGTTAGTGGTGAGTGTCACTCGGGAGTGGTGAGCGTCACTCCTAGTAACCCTAGTGACGCTCACCACTTAGATGATGGTGGTGATGGTGGTGATGATGTTTGTGGTAATGGTGGTGGTGTTAATGGTGGTGTTAATGATGGTGATGTTGATGGTGGTGACGATGGTGGTGACGATGGTGCTGATGGTTTATTCTCAGATCAAGATGGAAAACTACACAAAGACTGAGAAGCTGGGAGAAGGTGAACACAGACACACACACAGACAGACACACACACAAATACACACAGAGACACACACACAGACACACACACAGACACACACACACAGACACACACACACAGACACACACACACAGACACACACACAGACACACACACATACACACACATACACACATACACACACACAGTGATACACAGACACACACAGACACACACACAGACACACAGACAGACACACAGACAGACACAGACAGACACATACACACAGACAGACACACACACAGACACACACACAAATACACACACAGACACACACACAGACACACACACAGACACACACACAGACACACACACAGACACGCACACAGACACGCACACAGACACGCACACAGAGTGAGACACGCACACACAGACACACGCACACACAGACACACGCACACACAGACACACGCACACACAGACACAGACACACACAGACACAGACACACACAGACACAGACACACACACACACAGACACACACACAGACACACACACAGACAGAGACACAGAGACACAGACACACAGACAGACACACAGACAGACACACAGACAGACACACAGACAGACACACAGACAGACACACAGACAGACACACAGACAGACACACAGACAGACACACAGACAGACACACAGACAGACACACAGACAGACACACAGACAGACACACAACACAAACACACAACACAGACACACACACAGACACACACACAGACAGACAGACACACACAAACACACAGACAAACACACAGACAGACACACACTACACACACACTACACACAGACACTACACACACACTACACACAGACACTACACACACGACAGACACAGACACACTACAGATACACACACAGACACAGAGACACACACACACACACAGACACACACACACACACACAGACACACACACAGAAACACACACACAGACACACACACTACACACAGACACTACACACACGACAGACACAGACACTAGACACACACACACAGACACACAGACACACGCACACACAGACACACGCACACACAGACACTGCACACACACACACAGACACTACGCACACACAGACACACAGACAGACACACACACAGACACACACACACAGACACACACACACAGACACACACACACAGACACACACACACAGACACACACAGACAGGCACACACAGACAGGCACACACAGACAGGCACACACAGACAGGCACACAGACACACAGACAGACACACAGACACACACACAGACACACACATACACACAGACAGACACACAGACACACACACAGACAGACACACACACAGACACACAGACAGACACACACACACAGACACACACAGAGACACAAATACACACACAAACACACACACACACACACAGACACATACACAGAGTGAGACACGCACACACAGACACTACACACACAGACACTACGCACACACAGACACACACACAGACAGACACAGACAGACACACACACAGACAGACACACACAGACACAAACACACACACAGATACAAACACACACACAGACAGACACACACAGACACAAACACAGACACACACAGACACACACACAGACACACACACAGACACACACACTACACACAGACACACACACACACAGACAAACACACACACAGAAACACACACAGACACAGACACACACACTACACACAGACACTACACACACGACAGACACAGACACTACACACACACAGAGACACACACACACAGACACACACACACACACAGACACATACACACACAGACACATGCACACAGACACGCACACACAGACACGCACACACAGACACGCACACACAGACACACACACAGACACGCACACACAGACACCACACACACACAGACACCACACACACACAGACACCACACACACACAGACACCACACACACACAGACACCACACACACACAGACACCACACACACACAGACACACACAGACACACACAGACACACACAGACAGACACACAGACAGACACACACACAGAGACACACAGACACACACAGAGTGAGACACGCACACACACACAGAGTGAGACACACACAGACACACACAGACACACACAGACACACACAGACACACACAGACACACACAGAGTGAGACACGCACACACACACAGAGTGAGACACACACAGACACACACAGACACACACAGACACACACAGACACACACAGACACACACAGACACACACAGACAGACACACAGACAGACAGACACACAGACAGACACACACACAGACACACACACAGACAGACACACACACACACAGACACACACACACAGACACACACACACAGACACACACAGACACACACACAGACACACAGACACTACACACACGACAGACACAGACACACTACGGATACACACACACACAGACACACACACACACAGAGACACACACACAGACACACACACACACAGACACACACACAGACACACACACAGACACACACAGACACATACACACACAGACACACGCACACACAGACACACACACAGACACACACACAGACACACACACTGACAGACACACACACAGACACACACACAGACACACACACAGACACACACACAGACACACACACAGACACACAGACAGACACACAGACAGACACACACACAGACACACACACAGACACACACACAGACAGACACACAGACAGACACACACACAGACACACACACAGACACACACACACAGACACACACAGACACACACACAGACACACACAGACACAGACACAGACACACACAGACACCACACACACAGACACCACACACACAGACAGACAACACACAGACAGACAACACACAGACAGACACACACAGACAGACACACAGACAGATACACAGACAGACACACAGACAGACACACAGACAGACAGACACACACACAGACAGACACAGACACAGACACACACACAGACACACACACAGACACACAGACAGACACAGACAGACAGACAGACACAGACAGACAGACACACACAGACACACACACAGTCCGTGTGTGACTGATTGGATGGGTGAGTGAGTGACTGTGACTGAGTGACTGGCTGAGTGACTGACTGACTGAGTGTGTGACTGACTGAGTGACTGGCTGAGTGAGTGACTGAGTGTTTGAGTAAGTGGCTAACTGACTGACTGAGTGTGTGACTGACAGACTGAGTGTGCGAGTGACTGATTGAGTGTGTGAGTGACTAACTGACTGACTGAGTGACTTTCTGAGTGTGTGACTGAGTGTCTAAGTGTGTGACTGAGTGACTGACTGAGTGGCTGACTGACTGACTGAGTGTGTGACTGACTGAGTGTGTGACTGACAGACTGAGTGACTGACAGACTGAGTGAGTGACTGACTGAGTGACTGACGGAGTGACTGGCTGATTGAGTGACTGACTGAGTGTGTGTGTGAGTGACTGACTGAGTGACTTTCTGAGTGAGTGTCTGACTGACTGAGTGTGTGACTAACTGACTGACTGACTGAGTGTCTGCCTGAGTGACTTAGTGACTGAGTGTGTGACTGACTGAGTGACTAACTGACTAACTAACTGACTGAGTGTCTGACTGACTGAGTGACTGACTGACTGTCCCAGGCACTTATGGGGTGGTGTACAAGGCAGTCCACAAGTCCACCGGCGCTGTTGTGGCCCTGAAGAAGATCCGCGTTGAGAGCGAAGAGGAGGGAGTGCCTAGCACGGCCATCCGAGAGATCTCCCTCCTGAAGGAGCTGTCTCACCCCAACATCGTTCAGTCAGTCACTCACTCAGTCACTCACTCACTCAGTCAGTCACTCAGTCAGTCAGTCACTCACTCAGTCACCCACCCACTCATCCACTCAGTCAATCACTCACTCACTCAGTCATTCACTCACTCAGTCAGTCACTCACTCACTCAGGCACTGCCATCCGTGAGATCTCCCTCCTGAAGGAGCTGTCTCACCCCAACATCGTTCAGTCAGTCACTCACTCAGTCACTCACTCAGTCACTCAGTCACTCACTCAGTCACCCACCCACTCAGTCAATCACTCACTCACTCTGTCAGTCACTCAGTCAGTCACTCAGTCACTCAGTCAGGCACTGCCATCCGTGAGATCTCCCTCCTGAAGGAGCTGTCTCACCCCAACATCGTTCAGTCAGTCACTCACTCAGTCACTCACTCAGTCACTCACTCAGTCACTCAGTCACTCACTCAGTCACTCACTCAGTCAATCAGTCACTCACTCAGTCACTCACTCAGTCACTCACTCAGTCACTCAGTCACGGCCATCCGTGAGATCTCCCTCCTGAAGGAGCTGTCTCACCCCAACATCGTTCAGTCATTCAGTCACTCAGTCACTCACTCGGTCAATCACTCAGTCACTCACCCACCCACTCATCCACTCATCCACTCAGTCAATCACTCAGTCACTCACTCACTCAGTCAATCAGTCAGTCACGGCCATCCGTGAGATCTCCCTCCTGAAGGAGCTGTCTCACCCCAACATCGTTCAGTCAGTCACTCACTCAGTCACTCAGTCACTCAGTCAGTCACTCAGTCAGTCACTCACTCACTCAGTCACTCACTCAGTCAGTCAGTCACTCAGTCACTCACTCACTCAGTCAGTCAATCAGTCACTCACTCATTCACTCAATCAGTCACTCACTCACTGAGTCACTCACTCAGTCACTCACTCAGTCACTCACTCAGTCACTCACTCAGTCACCCACCCACTCAGTCAATCACTCACTCAGGCACTGCCATCCATGAGATCTCCCTCCTGAAGGAGCTGTCTCACCCCAACATCGTTCAGTCAGTCAGTCACTCACTCAGTCACCCACCCACTCAGTCACCCACCCACTCAGTCAATCACTCACTCAGGCACTGCCATCCGTGAGATCTCCCTCCTGAAGGAGCTGTCTCACCCCAACATCGTTCAGTCATTCAGTCACTCAGTCATTCACTCACTCAGTCAATCACTCAGTCAATCACTCAGTCACTCACCCACCCACTCATCCACTCAGTCAATCACTCAGTCACTCACTCACTCAGTCAATCAATCAGTCACTCAGACACTCATTCAGTCACTCACTCAGTCAGTCACTCACTCAGTCACAGCCATCCGTGAGATCTCCCTCCTAAAGGAGCTGTCTCACCCCAACATCGTTCAGTCAGTCACTCAGTCAGTCACTCAGTCAGTCAGTCACTCACTCAGTCACTCAGTCAGTCAATCACTCAGTCAATCACTCAGTCAGTGAGTCAGTCACTCAGTCAGTCACTCAATCATTCAATCACTCAGTCAGTCAATCACTCAGTCACTCACTCAGTCAATCAGTCAGTCAGTCAATCAGTCAGTCACTCACTCAGTCAATCAGTCACTCACTCAGTCAATCAGTCACTCACTCAGTCAATCACTCACTCAGTCAATCACTCACTCAGTCAGTCACTCAGTGAGTCACTCAGTCAGTCACTCAGTCATTCAATCACTCAGTCAGTCACTCACTCACTCAGTCACTGCCATCCGTGAGATCTCCCTCCTGAAGGAGCTGTCTCACCCCAACATCGTTCAGTCAGTCACTCACTCAGTCACCCACCCACTCAGTCAATCACTCACTCAGGCACTGCCATCCGTGAGATCTCCCTCCTGAAGGAGCTGTCTCACCCCAACATCGTTCAGTCATTCAGTCACTCAGTCATTCACTCACTCAGTCAATCACTCAGTCACTCACCCACCCACTCATCCACTCAGTCAATCACTCAGTCACTCACTCACTCAGTCAATCAGTCAGTCACTCAGACACTCATTCAGTCACTCACTCAGTCAGTCACTCACTCAGTCACAGCCATCCGTGAGATCTCCCTCCTAAAGGAGCTGTCTCACCCCAACATCGTTCAGTCAGTCACTCACTCAGTCAGTCAGTCAGTCACTCACTCAGTCACTCAGTCAGTCAATCACTCACTCAGTCAATCACTCAGTCAGTGAGTCAGTCAGTCACTCAGTCAGTCACTCAATCATTCAATCACTCAGTCAATCACTCAGTCACTCAGTCAATCAGTCAGTCACTCACTCAGTCAATCAATCAGTCACTCAGTCACTCACTCAGTCAATCAGTCAGTCAGTCACTCACTCAGTCAATCAGTCACTCACTCAGTCAATCAGTCACTCACTCAGTCAATCACTCACTCAGTCAATCACTCAGTCAGTCACTCAGTGAGTCAGTCAGTCACTCAGTCATTCAATCACTCAGTCAGTCAGTCACTCACTCAGTCACGGCCATCCGTGAGATCTCCCTCCTGAAGGAGCTGTCTCACCCCAACATCGTTCAGTCAGTCACTCACTCAGTCAGTCACTCAGTCAATCACTCAGTCATTCAATCACTCAGTCAGTCACTCACTCACTCAGTCACTGCCATCCGTGAGATCTCCCTCCTGAAGGAGCTGTCTCACCCCAACATCGTTCAGTCAGTCACTCACTCAGTCACCCACCCACTCAGTCACCCACCCACTCAGTCAATCACTCACTCAGGCACTGCCATCCGTGAGATCTCCCTCCTGAAGGAGCTGTCTCACCCCAACATCGTTCAGTCATTCAGTCACTCAGTCATTCACTCACTCAGTCAATCACTCAGTCAATCACTCAGTCACTCACCCACCCACTCATCCACTCAGTCAATCACTCAGTCACTCACTCACTCAGTCAATCAGTCAGTCACTCAGACACTCATTCAGTCACTCACTCACTCAGTCACTCACTCAGTCACAGCCATCCGTGAGATCTCCCTCCTGAAGGAGCTGTCTCACCCCAACATCGTTCAGTCAGTCACTCACTCAGTCACTCACTCAGTCACTCACTCAGTCACTCACTCAGTCACTCACTCAGTCACTCACTCAGTCACTCACTCAGTCACTCACTCACTCAGTCACGGCCATCCGTGAGATCTCCCTCCTGAAGGAGCTGTCTCACCCCAACATCGTTCAGTCAGTCACTCACTCAGTCACTCACTCAGTCACTCACTCAGTCACTCACTCAGTCACTCACTCAGTCACTCACTCAGTCACTCAGTCAGTCATTCACTCACTCAGTCACTCACTCAGTCAGTCACCCACTCACCCACTCACTCATCCACTCATCCACTCAGTCAATCACTCAATCACTCACTCAGTCACTCAATCAATCACTCATTCAGTCACTCACTCAGTCACTCAATCATTCAATCACTCAGTCAATCACTCAGTCAATCAGTCAGTCACTCAGTCAGTCAGTCACGGCCATCCGTGAGATCTCCCTCCTGAAGGAGCTGTCTCACCCCAACATCGTTCAGTCAGTCACTCACTCAGTCACTCACTCACTCAGTCACTCAGTCACTCACTCATTCACTCAATCAGTCACTCACTCACTGAGTCACTCACTCAGTCACTCAGTCACTCACTCAGTCACTCACTCAGTCACTCACTCAGTCACTCACTCAGTTACTCACTCAGTCACTCAGTCACTCAGTCAGTCACTCAGTCAGTCACGCTCTCAGTCACTCAGTCAGTCACTCAGTCAGTCAGTCAGTCAGTCACTCAGTCAGTCACTCACTCAGACACTCACTCACTCAGACACACACTCAGACACTCAATCAGACACTCAATCAGACACTCAATCAGACACTCAATCAGACACTCAATCAGACACTCAGTCAATCAGTCAGTCACTCACTCAGTCACTGCCATCCGTGAGATCTCCCTCCTGAAGGAGCTGTCTCACCCCAACATCGTTCAGTCAGTCACTCACTCAGTCACTCACTCAGTCACTCACTCAGTCACTCACTCAGTCACTCAGTCAGTCAGTCACTCAGTCAGTCACTCAGTCAGTCAGTCACTCAGTCAGTCACTCATTCACTCACTCAGTCACCCACCCACTCACCCACCCACTCATCCACTCAGTCAATCACTCACTCACTCAGTCACTCATCCACTCAGTCAATCACTCACTCACTCACTCAGTCAATCACTCACTCAGTCAGTCACTCAGTCACGGCCATCCGTGAGATCTCCCTCCTGAAGGAGCTGTCTCACCCCAACATCGTTCAGTCAGTCACTCAGTCAGTCACTCAGTCACTCACTCATTCACTCAATCAGTCACTCACTCACTGAGTCACTCACTCAGTCACTCAGTCACTCACTCAGTCACTCAGTCAGTCACTCAGTCACTCACTCAGTCACTCAGTCAATCACTCAGTCACTCAGTCAGTCACTCACTCATTCACTCACTCAGTCACCCACCCACTCACCCACCCACTCATCCACTCAGTCAATCACTCACTCACTCAGTCACTCAGTCAGTCACTCACTCAGTCACGGCCATCCGTGAGATCTCCCTCCTGAAGGAGCTGTCTCACCCCAACATCGTTCAGTCAGTCACTCACTCAGTCACTCACTCACTCACTCAGTCAGTCACTCAGTCACTCAGTCACTCACTCAGTCACTCACTCAGTCACTCACTCAGTCACTCACTCAGTCACTCACTCACCCACCCACTCATCCACTCAGTCACTCAATCAATCACTCATTCAGTCACTCAGTCAGTCACTCACTCACTCAGTTAGTCACGGCCATCCATGAGATCTCCCTCCTGAAGGAGCTGTCTCACCCCAACATCGTTCAGTCAGTCACTCACTCAGTCACTCACTCAGTCACTCACTCAGTCACTCACTCAGTCAGTCACTCAGTCAGTCACTCAGTCAGTCAGTCACTCAGTCACTCACTCAGTCACCCACCCACTCACCCACCCACTCATCCACTCAGTCACTCACTCAGTCACTCAGTCACGGCCATCCGTGAGATCTCCCTCCTGAAGGAGCTGTCTCACCCCAACATCGTTCAGTCAGTCACTCAGTCAGTCACTCACTCAGTTACTCAGTCAGTCACTCAGTCACTCAGTCACTCACTCAGTCACTCACTCAGTCAATCACTCAGTCAATCACTCAGTCAATCACTCACTCAGTCAATCACTCAGTCAATCACTCAGTCAATCACTCAGTCAATCACTCAGTCATTCACTCAGTCAATCACTCAGTCAATCACTCACTCAGTCAATCACTCAGTCAATCACTCAGTCAATCACTCAGTCAATCACTCAGTCATTCACTCAGTCAATCACTCAATCACTCAGTCAGTCACTCAGTCACTCACTCACTCACTCAGTCAGCCAGTCAATCACTCAGTCAATCACTCAGTCAGTCAATCACTCAGTCACTCAGTCAGTCACTCAGTCAGTCACTCAGTCAGTCACTCAGTCAGTCAGTCAGTCACTCACTCAGTCACTCACTCAGTCACTCACTCACTCAGTCACTCACTCAGTCACTCAGTCACCCACCCACTCACTCACCCACTCAGTCATTCACTCAACCACTCACTCACTCACCCACTCACTCGCCCATGACGGTGATGATGATTGTGATGATGATGATAATCATGATCGTGGTGATGATGATGATGATCGTGTTGCAGGCTGCAAGATGTGCTGATGCAGGACACAAAACTGTTCCTCGTCTTTGAGTTCCTCTCCATGGACCTCAAGAAATATTTAGACTCCTTACCTAGCGGGACCACTCTGCAGCCAAACCTTGTGCAGGTGAGTGAGTGAGTGGGTGAACGATTGAGAGGGTGAGTGGGTGAGTGAGTGAGTGGGTGGGTGAGTGAGAGGGTGAGTGAGTGGGTGAGTGAGTGGGTGGTTGGGTAAGTGAGTGAGTGAGTGGTTGGGTAAGTGAGTGAGTGAGTGGTTGGGTAAGTGATTGAGTGGGTGACTAAGTGAGTAGTTGGATGAGCGGCTGAGTGAGTGAGTGAGTTAGTGGCTGAGTTAGTGGCTGAATGAGTGAGTTAGTGGCTGGTTAAGTGGCTGGGTGAGTGAGTTAGTGGCTGGCTGAGTAAGTGAGTTGTTGAGTGAGTGAGTTAGTGGCTGGCTGAGTGAGTGAGTTGTTGAGTGAGTGGCTGAGTTGCTGAGTGAGTGAGTGGCTGAGTGAGTGAGTTAGTGGCCGAATGAGAGTGAGTTGGTGGGTAAGTGGCTGAGTGAGTGGCTGAGTGGCTGATTGAGTGAGTGAGTGGCTGAGTGACTGAGTGAGTGACTGAGTGAGTGGCTGGGTGAGTGAGTTAGTGGCTGGCTGAGTGAGTGAGTTGTTGAGTGAGTGGCTGAGTTGCTGAGTGAGTGAGTGGCTGAGTGAGTGAGTTAGTGGCCGAATGAGAGTGAGTTGGTGGGTAAGTGGCTGAGTGAGTGGCTGAGTGGCTGATTGAGTGAGTGAGTGGCTGAGTGACTGAGTGAGTGGCTGGGTGAGTGAGTTAGTGGCTGGCTGAGTAAGTGAGTTGTTGAGTGAGTGAGTTAGTGGCTGGCTGAGTGAGTGAGTGGCTCAGTTGCTGAGTGAGTGAGTGGCTGAGTGAGTTAGTGGCTGAGTGAGTGAGTGGCTGAGTGAGTTGCAGTGTGAGTGAGTGACTGAGTGAGTGACTGAGTGACTGTGTGAGTGAGTGACTGAGTGAGTGAGTGAGTGGCTGAGTGAGTGAGTGAGTGGCTGAGTGAGTGAGTGACTGGCTGAGTGAGTGAGTGAGTTGCTGAGTGACTGAGTTGCTGAGTGAGTGAGTTGCTGAGTGAGTGAGTTGCTGACTGACTGAGTGACTGACTGACTGAGTGAGTGACTGACTGAGTGACTGAGTGAGTGACTGACTGAGTGGCTGACTGACTGACTGAGTGACTGACTGACTGACTGAGTGACTGACTGACTGAGTGCTAATCTCTCTCCCACCCTGACCCCTGACCCCGCTCCGTGACGAGCCCAGAGCTACGTGTACCAGGTGATGTTGGGCATTGTGTTGAGCGGGTGAGTGAGTGTATGAGTGAGTGTATGAGTGAGTGGCTGAGTGAGTGAGTGGCTGAGTGAGTGAGTGGCTGAGTGAGTGAGTGGCTGAGTGAGTAAGTGGCTGAGTGACTGAGTGAGTAAGTGGCTGAGTGAGTGACTGAGTGGCTGACTGACTGAGTGACTGACTGACTGAGTGACTGACCGAGTGACTGACTGAGTGCTAATCTCTCTCCCACCCTGACCCCTGACCCCGCTCCGTGACGAGCCCAGAGCTACGTGTACCAGGTGATGTTGGGCATTGTGTTGAGCGGGTGAGTGAGTGTATGAGTGAGTGGCTGAGTGAGTGAGTGGCTGAGTGAGTGAGTGGCTGAGAGTGAGTGGGTGAGTGAGTAAGTGGCTGAGTGACTGAGTGAGTGACTGAGTGGCTGAGTGACTGACTGAGTGGCTGACTGAGTGGCTGACTGAGTGGCTGACTGAGTGGCTGACTGAGTGTATGAGTGAGTGGCTGAGTGAGTGTATGAGTGAGTGTATGAGTGAGTGGCTGAGTGAGTGACTGACTGAGTGAGTGACTGACTGAGTGACTGAGTGGCTGAGTGACTGACTGACTGAGTGACTGACTGAGTGCTAATCTCTCTCCCACCCTGACCCCTGACCCCGCTCCGTGACGAGCCCAGAGCTACGTGTACCAGGTGATGTTGGGCATTGTGTTGAGCGGGTGAGTGAGTGTATGAGTGAGTGGCTGAGTGAGTGGGTGAGTGAGTGGGTGAGTGAGTGGGTGAGTGGGTGGCTGAGTGGGTGGCTGAGTGGGTGGCTGAGTGGGTGGCTGAGTGGGTGAGTGAGTGGGTGAGTGAGTGGCTGAGTGAGTGAGTGAGTGGCTGAGTAAGTGACTGACTGACTGACTGAGTGACTGACTGAGTGACTGACTGAGTGCTAATCTCTCTCCCACCCTGACCCCTGACCCCGCACCGTGACGAGCCCAGAGCTACGTGTACCAGGTGATGTTGGGCATTGTGTTCTGCCACTCACGGAGGATCATCCACCGG